TAGGGTTGGAAGGGGTAAGGGTTGGATGGCTCTGCTTATTAACAGATTAAGTAGAATTAAAGAGTACAACTTTGCTCACATCTTTGAATCCATATTTCAGATAGAGGATTAGTCATGTATTGAGAGTCAAATATTTTCCTAACCTGTGGTTGTTGCAGAGAGCTCACAAGGTCACTCAGTCAGATACCGTACTCCACTCCAAACCCTGTCACATGATATTAGGGCCTCTCCGGTATGCTCCTCCTTAGTCTGCAATCATTCAAGCCTTCCTCTTTCCAACTTGTGTAGCAGTCACACCGGCATGGTTTTGCCTTTTCACCAGACTGTGAGTCCCCCAAGGAATAGGATCCAATCTGATTCATCCCTTTACTCGTCACTGAGAACAGCACAGGAGAATGAAGTATTGTAGAAAGCTTCATTTCTATGGAATCAAGCCCCTGAGTTTCCAAAGTCCCATTTCCCTTTGTCCCATCATAGAAGAAATGTAGCTGTAGCTTCAGAAGACCTATGATTAAAGCTGTTGCCCAGAATTTCTGTTCCATGTTTACACAGTCTAATCCAGCATCAGGTTAGGTTAGTTTGTGTTCCCACCTGCAGTTCATCAGTCCGTTGTGTGTGGGGTCTGCAGGGTCACATGGCTATGGAGGGAACACGGACAGGAGCAAAACCAGAGGAACCAGAGAGCCAAGAGTGCCAAGAGATCCAAGAGCCAGGAGAGAGAATTCCTTTTGATAACCAGAACCATGAGCCAGGGTTCCCCCACTACCTCCCACCCCATCTTGTCTCTCGGCACTGAAGAATGAGCTCCATGAACCAGAAGATTTAAACAAAAGTGTGGAAAATTTATTACAAGCAGATTCAGACTTCCCACACAGGGAGGCCCCCAAAGCCTTGTAGTCTTGGGGTATATATTTGCTACAAGTCTGCTCTATATCTATCCATGCCGCCACCTGATTGATTCCCTCAATTGGTCTTGCCCAGCAACAGACCTGAATTTTCTGTGTTCCTGTGAGCCAGTTCACCTTATTGTTGCAGGCCCTCTCTTGGTTTCACATGCCTCCCGCTTTGAGTCCAAAAGCATTTTGTTATTCCTGCTTGGTTGGTTTCTGTGATTAGGCTTGCTCAAACTGCCATTTCTGCCTCTGCCTACGTTCTACCCGCCTTGGTTTTCCACTGGACCCCTGCCCTGTTTACTCTCACTTTGTCTGTGAGATTTTATATCCCGAAGTTTTTGCAGGTTTATAGTGGCCCTGTTCCCCCTAGCCAAGGATCTCTGTTCCCAGGTTTGACTGGCAGCAAGCACCTTCACTAAGTCACCCCAACTCACTGTGCATGTGCCCATCTTCCCCTTTGTCCAGTTTCTTCCCCCAGTAATCTGTAGGGAATGGGCCAGTGTTTCCCTGGGGAGTGTGAAATTGCAGCTTCCTGGTGAAGGTGCCCAGATGACCATGCTTATAATGTCTGGTCTTCCCTTTACTCCTTTCATATTATTAATAACTAGCTAATTACAATGGTTCAGTCTCAGGCCTTGGCTAGTAGAAAGAGTCCTTTTACCACAT